GGATGAAGACCTAAAAAAGAAGGTAGCATGGTCCCTTCAGATTTTCCTCCATAGTCTCTCCCAAGCCCAAGGATACTATTGCTGCTCTGTTAGAGACTGGGATGACCCAGACCTGAAATCTGAGAGCCAGGGATTAGGCTCCCTTACCCTCTACATGGAGTGGGATACAGCAAAGGACAGCCAGGGAACACAATAACATCCCAGCCCTGATTATTCTCAAAGCACACCTCACAACAGAACTGTGCATCAGCCTTACACATGGTTTGGAATATATGCATCCCTTAATCCTAAAACATTATTAACAGCATTTAGCATGCTTAAAACAGATATCATTTTGCCCTAACAATAATTTCAGTTTATCCTGTATTCTAGGAACTTTCAGAGTAAGTTGCAGAACTTCCCACTGCACATTATGATCTGTACCAAGTAATAAGCTGTGTCTGTAAACACTCCTTTAAGGAAGCCAGTTAACCTAGTGCTGTATGTACAAAGAATCAGAAGATATGAACTGAAGGTTTGGCTGGCTTCAAATATTTTAAATAAAATTGTTATCTGGATCTAAACAACACTGAGTGATGCTAGCACGGTAATTTAACTTACAAAAGAATCCAATAAGCTTTTGTGAATGCCACTGATAGAACAGCACATGATACTACAAGAACTATTAGGAAGCTACTTCTTGGAAATGAATGATAAGCACAATTCTCATACAAGCCCCAGTTTTCATAAGGCCATTAAATACATTCCATTTTCAACTTGCCACTACTTGCACCTCCCATAACAATTATTCTCAATGTATTTTCATCTGTTCCATAAAAAATGATTGCTTCTGCTTTACCTAATCCTTCACTTACATCAACCCTATTGTTCATTTCCTTCCCTTTCATCTTCTCCACATTAATTCCCCGCATCGCTTTTGATCTAGCTTTTGTTTCCTTTTTTCCCCTACAGATTCTTCCTGATGAAGAATTTACAGCCCTAATGTTCATCTGACGTGTATGGTGATGTTTTATTGATTCGCTACACTGTCTATTAGTTCTCTATAATGAACAGCATTATACAAAACTCAAGATGGGTTGCCTAAGCCTATAACTTGGATCTAAAAAATCAGTTTAACTGAACTTGAAAAATGTCCTATGTTATCAGTAAATATCCATATTTAATTATAATAGGAAAAGCATATGAAAGAAGCAGCCAGAGAAAACAAACATTTCCTCCTCGCAGTCCAAAGAATTACTCTTTGCCATAGTGGCAAGCCAAGTAAATAGAATAATTGCAATTTTCACTGCTGCTAAATAAGAAATAGAAAACCTCTCCAGGAACTGTTCTGTATGGCTGTAATAAATGCCCACAGAAACAAGCTAACCTACATTATTCATTCCCCTACAGAAAGGATGGCCTTTCTAGAACTGGAAAGACTTCAAGAAGTGGAGCAGCTGATTTTAGCTGATATAAAGCGTAAGTTATATTTTAAATGGATGCTATATTCCATTTTTAAGGGAAAAAATGGCATTTAGTTCAGATAACTCAATGCTGAACAAGTGTTTCACATTCACAAATTAACAGCAATGCCCAAGTATATAAACCACTCAAAATATATTTTACTTAGCATACTATACTTGCTGCAAGACCATAAAACCTAAGCTAAGTTTTGTGTCTATTCACTTGTGTCAAAACCAGCCACTGGGTAAAATCTCTAAGCAGAGGCTCCCTTTCTTCCAGCCTCACAGCCCTATGCCCACCTGCAACTACGTTCCTTCTCAGGCATTCGGTCTCTGGCCTTGTGAATCTGTATTCCTCACTGTACCAGTAAAGCTTCAACAAAAGAAGGGCTTTAATCACTCCTCACTACACAAAAGTGGCAGATGGGAGAGTGGCTGGCAGCTCCCACACCAAATTTAATGCTACTAAAGGAGGTATGTACAGAAACAGCCAAGCCATCATTTGTCTGCAGCAATAGCTAGGAGAGAGATTCCAACACTTCAGCCCAGGCATGATACTGGAAATTCAGATACATTAAAGGTTAATCCTGGATTTTGATGAAGGCCCCTCAGGAATTAAAGATCAACATATCATCTGCATACAACAGAGTAATATCAACAACTCCCATTGTTGGAACAAGTCAGTTTTTCTACAGATCTAGGCTGGTTCCTTAGTTTGCAAAGGGAATCATTTGTCAAATTCATCATCACACAGTCACCCAAGATTACACAGAATCACAGAATATGCTGAGTCGGAAGGGATCCACAAGGATCATCAAGTCCAACCCTTAGTCCTGCACAGGACCATCTTCAAGAGTCACACCATGTGCCTGAGGATCATCCAAACGCTTCTCAAACTCTGTCAGGCTTGGTGCTGGGATCATTTCCCTGGGGAGCCTGTTCCAGTGCCCAACCACCCTCTGGGTGAAGAACCTCTTTCTAATATCCAATCTAAACCTCCCGTGACACAATTTCAGGCCATTCCCTTGTGTCCTGTCACTGGTCACCACAGAAGAGATCAGTACCTGCCCCTCCTCTTCCCCTCACAAGGAAATTGTAACTGCAATGAGGTCTCCCCTCCACCTCCTCCAGGCTCAACAGACCAAGTGACCTCAGCCACTCCTCATACAGCTTTCCCTCAAGGTCCTTCACCATCTTCATTGCCCTCCTTTGGATACTCTCTAAGAGCTGTATATCTTTCTTATATTGCAGTGCCCAAAACTGCACGCAATATTCAAGGTGAGGCCACAACAGTGCAGAGCAGAGCAGGACAATCCCCTCCCTTGACCGGCTGGTGATGCTTTGCCTGATGCTTCCCAGGACACAGCTGGCCCTCCTGACTCATATTCAACTTGCCATCAACCAGGACCCCCAGGTCCCTTTCCAAGGCACTGCTTTCCAGCACCTCATTCCTCAGTCTGTATGTACATCCAGGGTTGCCCTATCCCAGGTGCAGAATCCTGCACTTTCCCTTGTTGAACTTCACATGGTTGGTGATTGCCCAGTCCTCTAATTTTTTGAGGTCTCTCTGCAGGGCCTCCCTGCCTTTGAGGGAATCAACAGCTCCTCCCAGTTTTGTCATCTGCAAACTTGCTTAGTATCCCTTCCAGTCCTGTGTCCAAGTCATTTATGAAGATGTTGAAGAGCACAGGGCCTAAGATGGAGCCCTGTGGAACCCCACTAGTGAGAAGTCACCAGTCTGATGTTACTGCATTCACTATTACCCTCTGTGCTCAACCTGTGAGCCAATTCTCACCCACCACTTGATATGTTTTTCCAGTTGTGGGTTGGACATTTTGTCCAGATGGATCCTGTGAGAGACAGTATCAAAAGCTTTACTGAAATCTAAAAAGATAGTATCAGCTGGCTTCCTTCCCTTGATCAGCTAGGTGGGTTACCTTGTCATAAAAGGAAATCAGGTTGGATAAGCAGGACTTTCCTCTCATGAAGCCATGCTGGTTCTGACCAGTGACTGTGTTGTCTTAATTTCCAGAATAATCTTCTCCATAACTTTACCAGGCATTGAAGTGAGACTGACAGGCCTGTAGTTTCCAGGGTCCTCCTCCTTGTCCTTCAAGATCAGGACAACATTCACCAGCTTCCAGGCAGCTGGGACCTCTCCAGATTCCCAAGACTGCTCAAAAATCATGGAGAGAGGTTTTGCAATGACATCAGTAGCTCTTTGAGGATTCTAGGATGAATCCCATCAGGCCCCACAGATTTGTAGGGATCCAGCTGGAGCAGCAGATCCCACACAGTTTCAGGGTTGACTAGGAGTTGATCATTCTCACCATCATGGTCCTCCAAGCTGAGGGCACTTAGACCCCTTTGGCCTGTCATCCATGTTGAAGATAGAGGCAAGGAAAGTGTTAAACACCTCTGCCTTGTCACTGTCCCTGTTTGTGAGGTGACCACACTCATCCTGTAAAGGGCCAATGTTATTTTCACACTTTCTATTGCCATTAATGTATTTGAAACAATTCCTTTTACTGCCACCTACATTTCTGGCAGCTTCAACTCCAGTTGAGCTTTGGCTGCATGAATTTTCTCCCTACAGTGGCAAGCAGGATCCCTAAATTCTTCCCATGTCACTTGATCTTGCTTCCCCTGGGCATATACATTCCTTTATTGCCTTATGTCCAAGAGAAGAACCCTGTTCAGCCAAGTTGGCCTTCTGCCTCGCCTGCTTGACTTCTGACATCTGGGAAATGCCTGCTCCTATGCCCTTAGGAGGTGATGTTTGAAGAGTGATCAGCACTGATGGACCCCAGCACCTGCAAAAACATTTTCCCAGGGAACCTTACTTACTAATTCCCTCAGCAGCCTGAAGTCTTCTCTCATGTCCAGAGTTGAGGTTTTGTTGCTACTTTTCCTTCTGTTCAATGGAGATTTTAAACTTGATCACTTGGTGGTCACTGTGGCCAAAACAGCCACCAATCTCCACTTCACTCAAAAGATCTACTCTGTTCACAAGCAGCAGATCAAGGAGAATATATTTCCAAGTCAGCTCCCTTAGGACCTGTTCCCTGAAGTTGTCATCCAGCTCTTTTAGGAATCTTCTGGTCCAGGTTGTACCCGCTGTGTATGTTCCCAGTTAATTTCTGGCAATTTGAAGTCCTCAAGGACAAGGGGAGTTGATTTGGAAGTGTCCCCTAGTTCCTCAAAGAATAATTCATTGGCATCATCGTCCTGGCCAGGAGGTCTGTAGCAGACTCCCATGATGACATTTGCATTGTTTGCCCCTCGATTCTTACCCAGAGGCTCTTAACCGTGCCAGTGCCAACTGTGAGCTCCATACGTTCTAATCCTTCTATTACACACAGTGACACCCCTTCGCCTCTTCTGCCCTGCCTATCCCTCCTTAAGAGCCCATAATCATCCAACACGGCCCTCCAGTCACAGGTGTCATCCCACCAGGTTTCACTTATGCCAGTGATGTCACATCTCTGGGACCGGGCCAAAGCTTGGAGCTTGTTTGTTCCTCATGCTGCAGGCACTAATGTAGAAACATTTCAAGTGTAACATTGTAGCAAATACCCCATGAATCAGTTTGAGGAACCCCATTAGTGCTCATTTCTTCAAGTTCTGGCACACCATCCCATTGCTCATCACTGGTGAGCCTGGTTTTGCCCCTTTCCCCCTTCCAAGCTAGTTTAAAGCTCTATCAGTGAGCCCCACTAGCTCCTGTGCTAGAACTCTGTTTCCCCTCTGAGATAGGTGCATCTCATCAGGTGTCAGTAGACCGGGTGTTGAGTAGATCATCCCATGGCCAAAAACTCGACATTTTTCTTATTACACCAACCTCAGAGCCACTCATTGCCCTGATGGATCTGCCTATTCTTATCAATATTATCCCTTATTACTGAAAGGATAAAAGAAATTACTGCCTATGCTCCTGATCCCTCTACCAATCATCCCAGGGCCCTGAAGTCTCTTTTGATTGCCCTTGGACTTTTCTTTGTTATTTCATCAATGCCAGTTTTAACAACCAACAGTGAATAGTAATCAGAGTACATTATTAGACTGGAGAGTTTTCCAGTAATGTCACCTACCTGAGTCCCTGGGAGACAGGGATTAAGGCAATATTGGACAAGTTTAGAGAACTAAGCTCAACCATCCTCCCCCTGCCCCAGCTACTAGCTAGGGACAGTCAAACACTCCTTCCTTAAGGAAAACTGAAAAATATTTCACTAAGGGGAAAATACCCAAAACACAGGTTTCAAGTCTCCTCACCTTCTCTTACCTGCTAGGGTTATTTTCATGAAAACAGAGACTTTGCCCTTAGCCATACACATCACCTCTCCTAATCCAAAATTAAGCTCTCCCCACAACATGAACACTTCATGTCCACCTGTACAAGACGATGACTTGGCAATGGCACCATTCGGTAAGATAAAACCGGCCACAACACAGTTGTTGTCTAACCTCTGGTCCAGAGTTTTGCAGGCCTAAAAAAAAAGCTTTGCAGAAGGACTGGAGAAGCAGAAGAAAGTAACTTTAATGGGTACATTGAAATAATGTCTGTTGTCTTTCTACTCAATAACGGTAGAGGAGAAAATATTAGTCAGTAAGCTCAGGGACACTTAAGAAACAATAATTAGCAGTAAAAATTCTTCAGCACAGACAACTGAAGTTGACAAAAAAGCCTATTTTTTCTGCTCTTAAAATGACCCAGGAAACAAAACCTTCCTGTCTAGCTATCTACACCAATTTTCAAAGCAATCATATTTATTACTGCCAGCTTTGAAATCTGACACACATAGACACCCTTGACAGTTCACAGGTGAAGCGTCTAGGAAAGGTCAAAATACCTAGAACAAACAACAAGACCAGCTGTCAACGCCCTAAATGCATAATGAAACTGAATTTTTATAACTACATAATGATGACACAATAAAGCAAAACAGGCACATTTCATGTATTTATTTTCTCAGCCATCTCAAAAAAATTTTGGTGCATTCCTGAATAATAGTTCTAGGAAAACTGAATTCAGACATGCTCATTCTGCAACAATAGACCCGATGAGCTGGAACACCCATCATTTGGGTTTACTGTTAACTTCTGTTCTCTGCAATGAATGATTTCTACTTTTTCCACAAAACCAGCTTAAAATATGAGATTTTTTTTTGAAGTTATGGAAGACTTCTATTTTGCATTATAACACCAGTTGACTACAAAATAATCAAAGTTTGTAAAGATATATATAAAATGTAATCACCTAGCTATACATTGATCTTCACTGTGGGGAGTTTCCTTGTTATAACCACAACAAAGGTGGTGTCTAATGACAGTAATGGCAAGTAGGACTGGGAAAAATTCATGTTCAGAATTAACGTAAAGAATCTCTCAAAATACCTGGAGCTTGGTGAACTTTCTGTCCAAGAAGATGCCAATTATTACATTTAGTTTTCAGGTCTTTGTTTGTTAATAATTTTAATATTTGATAATTTTTGTAGTTTTGTACATCTTTTTACAGAAATCTACTATCTTCCTGCACATGAAGTGGTGATTGTTCGGGTTGAATTAGCTTTGATATTTTCTGATAGAAAGAATTCCAGCTACCTCACAATGGAAACTTTTCATACATTTTCCTCTGAGCAGCCAGATAATGTAAAACAAAGGAGGGATCTCTCTTTTCAAATTCTGCAATTCTTTCAAGGTATCAAGCCATTACACTACTTGCTACTTAGAAAAGAGAAATCACAATACAGGTACATTAGTACTACATTTCATATCAAATATATGCCAATTTTTTCATCTTTGCACATTTTGTTTCCAGACAAAAGACAGCAGAACTGTCCTATAAGTGATAAAAACTGAATATACTTTCAGTAAAGACACACATTCTGTATCTCTACTCTTGCTGAAGGCATTAGTTCAGTTAATAAAGTTCAAAATTGCAAAATCCTCCTTACCATTATGTTATTTAGAAAGAAATTTTATGTCTTCAGAAGCTGGGAAATACTGAATAAAGCAGCTCAACTAGACAGAAAAGAGAGGTTTGAAGTACTTTATTCACCTAGTTAACCTAGTTGTGGATTAGGAGAATGTCAAGATGGAGTCATATCAATAGGAACCCTGGTTTAAGTGCTTTTACTTTATCTGTTGCTGGGACTTTGAGGTGCTAGGAAATGTGGACTACTTGGAATTAATCAGTCCTTTCATATGATTCCAAATAGTTATGATTCTACACCTATTTATTGATGCTTTTTCTCTGTTGCAGTGCATCCTTATTATTGCCCTAAAAATGAAATGTACATTTTATTCTGTTTGTTCATTGTAGGACCAGTGCAGCCAAACACAGCTGAATTGAGATTTCAATCAACAGGTGCCTGCTGGGACACAAGCTATGCTAAATTAGTTTCACTTTAAGTTTAGACAATCACAAAATCATAGTAGCAGTTTTAGGAGAAAATATTTGAAGGTCTTACAAGATGTTGCCAGAATTACAACAATTACAGGTATAATAAGAGACAGTGCCCCTACTGCCAAAGAGTATATCTTTACTCCATTTCCCAGACTTATTAGAAATAAAATAGATTTCTTTTATTTTGACAGCCAAGACAGTTACATGACCACTTGCAGAGAAGGAATCTGCCAGTCCCCCATCCCCCTGAAAACAAAACACCTTCTCTCTTGTCAAGCTTCCAAAGGTTTAAGATTTGCCTGAATGCAGCCACAACACTGTCCCAGTCCCCTTAATTCAGCTTCTCAGTGCAGAATCCATTTGTCAGCTTCTGGTGTGAATAGTTCATAGTCAGAGACTTCTTTCCTTGAGAAGGTATCCTTTGTCTTTTCTTGAAATGACAACTGTCCCATTTACATAGATGCTGCTGCTGTGTTGCTGATCATGTTAAGAGCACACTTTTCCACAAAAGTGGTTTCTGAGACTTGATAATTACAGTGTGGTATCCTTCAACCCAAATCAGATCAAGCTGCCTTTCTGACCCAGCTTGAATCATGATCTCTTCATAGGGCTAGCGTCCCTAACATAAAAAGCTGGCAGCTCTTGTTACACATTGACTGTGGTTTCAGCCCTAGATGATGAAAAGAATCTCCAATAAACTCACTACTAAGAAAGCTGGAAGAGAAAAAGGAATTTCCAACTTTTACTTACTCTGACAGAACCTATTTCTTCCTGCTACCTGGACTCAAGCCAGACCAGAGTAGGGGGTGTCAAGTGCAACACACTCTTCACACTCAACAGGATCTTTGCTTTTATACATATACAGATGTGTGGATGCTGACATTAGGCAGACAGAGACCAGCCACCAGACAAGCTCCTCCAGTGATGAGGATAGATCTCATCTTTGGCACAGAGACAGCAAAGTACAACCCCTACAAGGAATTTAAAATGTTATAATTGACTTTTCCATGGTCACTCAGGAATCTAAGGAGAAATAAAAAAGATGGTAACTCAGGTGTGCTTTAACTAAAGAAATCATTTTATATACTTTTCCACATGGAATTGTACAGCTTCTACAACACGTTGCATGTTGAAGCACTTTCAGGGCAAAAAACTAGTTTATTTCTGTGGAGAAAAACCTTGGTCAGGTTTTTCCTGCAAGACAAACACGCTTCTGATTCATGAAGTTACCAGTGCCAGACAATCAGCAATTCCTCAGTGAGAAGAAACCCTTTAGTGTCACTAGAATCCTTTTACCAATCAGCAAGTAATGACCAATTAAAAGAACATTTAAATACTTTCTCATGCAATTAAAACCACTGATCACCTATTTCCAGTAAAATGGATAACAAAATTATAAAGTTGTATGTACCATGAAAATTCAGTAACAGCACGAGAATTTTAGAGCTTTCCATGATCCTAATAAGCCATTTCATTGTGTTAGTTCTGATACCTAAACTGTCAATAGCCCACATCTGTATAAACCAGTTAAACGAATGTATTTTTATTTCTTTTAAGCCAAACAAATATTTAAAGTCTTCAGCGAGGGAGGATAACATTCTAATACATCTTATTGGTATTAAGGGAGTCAAAGTATAACAGGCAGTGTGGAAAAAATATCAAGATACCTGTTGAGGAAGATGACAAATAGCATTAAAGGCTGGCAAACTCAGCTGGAGATAAAGGGTACCTTACAGGTGAAAGGCTCAGACATCTCTTTTCTTCCCAATGTTAATTAATCTTCTACGTGCTTTGCACAGATTGGGTTTTAATGCCATTACTTAACAAGAAAAAAATTTAACACAGTAACATATACTCTGAGATTATCTGAAGTCATGAAGCTGTATCTAAATCTTATTGTTCCAAAAGTTGTGCTTTTTTATTTACTCTTTAGACATTTTGTGGGAATAAGACAAAATTGCAAAATTTGTATTAAGCTTTTTTTCAGTACTGGCACCAATGACAGGAACCACTGATAAAGATCAGAACCAGTGATATGTTCCAGTGCAGATACAATACAGGTTAGTGTTGTATTAAAAAGAAGAGAAAAACAACAAAACAAACCAACTGATGATAGTTTAATTGAAAAAAACCCACCAAACTATATCATGTGGCACAAAACAATCCTTGCTTTAATATTTTTTAAAGATAATTAAGTTAAAATGAAAGAGAAAATACAACATTATCAGATTCTGAAGAACTAATACAACATGTCAGCCCATGTTGGTTTTAATTCTGATGTAGAGAAGATGGATAATACTTTAAAATTCTAATTTTAAGTACTGAAATATGCTGGTAATTAGTAAGGCATACAACAGAGATGAAATATAACCTCAAAGACCAAATGAGAATTTATACTCTGAAGTCATTTCATCTGTTAATCACTCCAGCTAACTGTACCAGAAGTAAACTTGCTAAAATGATAAACTAATAGAGACCATTAAAAAATTCCAGCTAGAGAATAAAAAAAATAAAAAAACCCCAGCACATATCCACAGAAAGAGTCAGGCAGATTTAGGAAAGCAGATTAATAGTCCCGAATGACTGAAAAATGCCGGAGTTGCATGCAACATTGAACATACTTTCTACTGCCATTTTCAAAGCCATTTCCCACCTCTTCTGGAAAGCACTACTAATGTTGAACTTTCTGGAACACACCCTTAGCTATTGAACCCGCTTCTGCTGGGAATCTGAATTGTTCAACAGATTCAGAGGATCCCACTCTGTAATACTCCTAAAAGCATTCATTCTTTTGGCCACCTAGCACTTGAGTTGTTTCAAGCACATTTTTACAAAGCAAAGCCACATCTCATGAATTGGGATTTATGACATAAACTAAAATAAAACAAGAAATGAATATTCGTACTCCACAAGGTCAGCCGGAGCAACTCTAAATCACCAATGGTTCACTCTGGATTGCAGATGTAGCCCACATGATGGGCCAACGTGACTTGATCTCACCATAGACTTCGGCTGCATAAACTGACAGATTCATTGTGACTGACAGTGACCAGTCCCTTGGCCCTTTCTCCTCTATTTCCATTAACTCACCTATTTCAGGTGAGTTTTACTTTGCAAAGGACAGGAAAAATCCATTAGCTGTGTAAGGGAGGGGATCTATTTATCTCTTTTTTATCTTAGGAGTTGCTGCTGTCTTTTTCAGAGGCATCCTATTCTGGTTGGTTTTGTTCTTGGTCTGTTCAACTGTTGAACAAAGGAGGCCCACACTTTCAGTTTCCTGAAATCTGGAAATACTATCTCTCGCTATCCTTCTCTTCATTTATTGCTCTTTATCTTTAAACAATAAAATCTGTCTTCATTCTTGCTTATTGCATATTAAATGTTCAAGGCCAGGTTGGATGGGGGTTTGAGTAACCTATCTAGTGGAAGGTGTCCTTGCCCATGGCGGGCGTGGGTTTTTATCTGTGTGCGGAACTAGATCTTTAAAGGCACTTTCCAACCTATACCATTTTGTGTTTCTATTATGTTGATTGGCAATCAATGTAGTTTCCCTTTGACCGTTTAGATGATAAAACTAATACAAAAGACCCCTGAGTTATACAAAATTGTTTGTTATAAATTAACAGTGTGCAAAGCTCACCATCATCAAAATAAAGATGCCAGTTTAACCATACACTCTTTTCATTAAACTATTTCCCTCCTCCCCTATCAGCTAGAAGAAAATATTAAATTAAAACAAGATAAACTGTGCATGCAAACTAGTCTGTTACCATCAAACAGCTGGGCTGCTCCAACACTGACAAAGAGGTCACGGTGTGAAAATACACAGCAATTACAGCAATAAAGGAAACAGCTGATAGAGGTTAGGTGGTGGAAACAAGAGGGCAGTCACAACAGAAAGACAAGGTTGGAATGAAGACAGGAGCATGGGAGGAGCAGAGGAAGAACCTGCCAAAGGCATGGGTTTGGGACACAGAGGTACAGCATGAGGGGGAAGGGAAGAGCCTTAGTGCCAAAACTGTCTAACTCCTCCCATCATCACACTGCACTTTCAGTTTCTTACAACTCAGATGGACTCTATTTAGGCTCTACAGTCATTCAGAAGTGACTTCAGAGAAATATGCAGCCATTTCTGACATAGAACCAGAATACGTTTTTGGCCACATTACTAAATTTTATTACTTTTCTATGAAAGGTTGAAATATCTCCTTTATGATTTGGAACAGAGACTTGAAAATCTGCCTGGGAAGTAAAACTGTAGAAATGCACCTCTACCATTCTCTTAAAAGCTGCATAAAACTTTGGATGAATTCTTTGCATTTCAAAAAGCAAATCCTATCTATATCTGCAGATCACTACACTTCACAACTACAGTTCTAAAAGACTCTTCCAACATATACCAGCCAGGGGTGAACACAGCTTCCCCTGAAATTGTGGGTTTGGATTGCAGAACACCAGGTAAACCTAGTAAGATTGTCACCTCTGATGTTTCAATGCTTACACCTGCTAGGGCTCAGCACTAAAGGAAGAAGCGGCATAAACAACTGTTTGGCCTAGGCCTTCCTTGGTGACCAGTTTGTAACCAAGGTAGTGCCCAGATTTACCCGGTATTCCCTACGATTTTTACGTAAGCCGGGGTATAATAAGAAGGGAGGAAAGGCCTTTGCCCTCTTTCCTTCCGGCGGCTTTGGAGGTGCAAGTTTCCCTGCTGTTGAGTCTGTCGGCTTGGGGAGCGAGGCCTGGTAAGGCCTTGCTGACCTTGGGAGACGGAGGCTGCTGGCAGTCGCTCCAGTGTGACTCTCCATTGTCCCAAGGAGAGTAGTAAGATATTCTTTGCTAATTCTTTTAGTTGATAGACCTTGGGCTATTGATCAGGAGATATATATATATATAGATATATATATATATTTTTTATTTTGGTTTTGTTCTTCCCTTCCCCTTTCCCCTGTGAAACTGCACATATATTTCAACTGTACATAACTATAATATAAGTGTAAATATATTTATATATATTGCTTTGTCTCTCTCTCGTTTTCGGTTCTTTTGGGGTTTTTTTCTCCCTCTTCTCCCTTGGTTTTGGGGGGGGGGGACTTCTTGTGGTAAGGTTTGGAGACTTGGCAGGGAGCCAGCTCCAAACCATATCAACAACCCACAAGCAACAAGGGCACCAAGGGTGCTGTGACTGGAAAAAGAAGACTGGGACAAAGATTGGAAGTGTCATGGTGCAGAAAAGATGAAGAGGAAAATTTGGAGCAAGAAGGTGGGGAAGTCTTCTTCAGCAAGAAGACTGAAAATGGAGAAAGGAAACTGAAGTAGTAATAGAAACACATGAAACTTAACTCAGAGAATGAAAGAGATGGAAGCATGCACTGATTGTGCAAGTGAGAAGGGGCTAAAAGTACAGGATGAAGGTAAAGTGAGAACCACCTAAAGAGAGAGATCTTAAAAGAAGAGCTAACCACACAAATTGTAAAGTAGAAGAAATGGCACAAGCAAAACCGACACTGAGGCCCTGGGAAAGGAAAATGGAAATGAGGACCAATACATGGATGAAAGTCTGGGGGCCTGTGGAGCAGGGCAGAGCTACATAGGAGAAGGTACTGTAGAAAAGAACCAAGGCTGGTTCCTAAGTGATGTGGAAGTCCAAAGGGGAGACTCAAGACAGGCCAGACAGTAAGCATGGACCAGGCAAGATGTCTGTGGAGTGGAAACTAGGACTAGCCAGAAGAATGAAACCAGAACAAAGTCAAACTCAGAAGAGGCAGGACCTGAAAAATGGCACAGTAGTAGCAGTGAGCAAAAAGAAGCAAAGAGGCAGAAAGCACACCTTTTGAATGCTTGGCCACCTTTTAAGAACAGAAACTTCCCAGGCAGTGGCTGGACATCACTTACTGATGGGAAGTAGAGAATAAAATCTTTGGTTTTTCCTTTGCTTGCAGGTGCACAACTTTTTGTGTTTGCTTTAGTAAACTGATTTATCTCAACCTACAAGTTGCTTTCAATCTTATTCTCCCTCCCCTGTCCAGCTGAGAAGGGGGAGTGATAGGGCAGCTTGGTGGATACCTGGCATCCAGCCAAGGTCAGCCCACCGCACTGGTGCATACAACATTACCTGAAATAATTCTAGAATTATGGAGCTATATGTCTATTTTGGTTTCCAGTTGATTTCAATTTATTGTATGTCCTCGAGATCTATAGATTTTTCTCTGGAACATGAAATATCCCATTGGCAATAGATTATGACTACTTAAGTCATATTCCTTTTTTATTCTCTATAAGCCACAGACAGTGATGCAATTTATTATTAATAATTTAAACTAATTTCCCTCCTCCTGCATTCAGGATAGCCTCATTCTCTTCTTAACCCTTTCAGTAACATTACTTTTAGCCTGATCTTGAAAGGAAAAAGAAGTTAACAAAATGTATTATTTGCAAGTCCTTCCTCTAAATCCACACCACATATTCAACTTCTGAACCCACTAACTGGTCAGTATTAACCAAACATATTAAAATCCCTTTAAGTTTTATGAAAATGAAAAGCTGCACAGAGAACAAAATGAGTGCTCCCATTCAGCTCTTGGACAGACAAGGACAATTTGGTTGTCAGCCAGCAGCTGGACTGGTCAACCTGTGAGTAAATACATGGCAGACCCAGTCCTGCTTTCTGGCAGGACAAATAGGGAATGTGAAGCCACCATGGACAAAGAGATGATTTTAAAAAAGAGGGTGACACAGTGAGAGGTAATTGGAGGATATGACTAGGTAAGGCTAGGGGCAGGAAGAAGTACTGCACTAAGAGTTTCCTAGCAGACACAAAAGTGTGCTGGAGGTACTGATGTGGACAAGTAATGAGGACCCAAGAGACAATCCTGCAGACCAGCCAGTTCCACTAATGTGAGACTGCTTATGGCCCACCATATCACACTCTTATCAACATGTCCTAAGTGCCACCATCTGAGGCAGTTGGGCTGGCCTGCCCTTCCTTCCACAGGGAAGACAAGAGGTGACTGGCAATTGCCAGAGGCAAAACCAACTCAGCTACATTGCTGGAGAGCAGAGAAGTAAAGCCAACACCACGAGCCTGTCCCTGCAAACTCCCCTTAGTTTAAGTGACATCTTGGCTGCAAAGCAGCCAGTGGGGGATAGACACAGGCAGAGCATCTTGCCTTCCTTCCACTCATTTTCCATAAACATCAATCATAGCTGTATCCAAGTATCATACCCTGGATATTTCAGTGATTAATCTGACACTTACCACTACAGTTTTAATGATATCCTTTATTGTAGAGGTGTCACAACAGGGCACAATGCACTGTTGCGTGGAGTTGCATGAGGCACCTCTAAGCAAGTTATTCCAACTTGCATTAACACAGCACTGCCCAAACTAGGTTAGTTAGCATAGGCTCCTTTGTGCTGTACTAAACTGTGCCATGTAAATGTATCCCAAAAGGGGAACAGCACAGAGTACAATGTCTCTTGGGTGACTACTGTGTACAAATAACAAATAGGACTGCTATCCATTGATGGGCCTAATCATTTGTATTTCTAATCTTAATTTTCATCCTCCCACAACCCAGGTTCTCTGGTTTTATTAGAACATCCTGCTTGCATTCAAATCTTTGTTACAATGAGCTTAATAGCCAGACATACAGCTGTACCACTAGTCTCGTATAGCAAGATCTATTCCACAGATCTCTGACTTCTACCAATAGCCAACACTGATACTGAATGAACTCTCATGAACAAAGCTATGTTTTCTTAATAATAACAGTTGTATAAACATAAGGTCTTCTCAGTTAAAGGGAAACTAACATCAAAAAGCAGTAAAACATGGAACCCTAAACCCTTCTCTCTTTGAAGAAACACCTTTGAAGCGAGGTGTTTCTAGTTATGGGTGAATGAAATGAGAATTCAGCTGCAACAAACGGACATCCAGTCTGTATGAAAGACTAATTAGATCCATCTGAGAAGCTGTGTCTAAAACTGCTTCATATATTTCAAAGGAGAGCTCTTCTAGTCTATCTTTTGAGAAGACTACATCAAAACATTTAGTCACAGCTGACGCACATCTATCCACTACAGCAGCATTATTTTTCATAAGCTATAAAAAAGCTACATTTAAGTAATGTTAACAGTCTGGCTTACTTAAAAATTAAAGTAAATGGAGGGAAAAAAGTGGCAAAGAAATTTAGAGCTAAGAAAGCAATTCAAAGCAGCAACGACCTTATAGTTGCCCCTGATGTCAAAGCATCACGAGATCCCAAAGTAGAGTCTTATACTGAATATTAAATGTGCTGAGATTTGCTTAGAGAACAGAATTAAAGATGAAGCACCATCCAGGAGCTGTAGAGTTAACTACGGCTTTTGAGGTAATAAGCCAGGCTCTTATCTTAGCATTCTTTTAAATATAACTATTGCTACTGCCAAACCAGCAGGAGGAGCTCACATTTTTTAATCTATTCGTTCTACAAAATTTGGGGAAAGGGGTTGGGAACCTGGAAGGGCTTTTAGAGGCAGGAAGGAGTTGGCTGGGTTTTTATTTTCCAGTTTTGTTAGATGCAAAACCAATGGTAAAGAGAAGCGTATAAGTGATGTTCGCGTAAGCACTGTTTTTAGAAACTAAAAAATCATTATATGAGTATTGTGGTGCAGCTTCTCAAGTGTGGCACACACATGAATTGAAGCAACAGCTGTGCCTCAAGGAGTTTTCAGTCCTACACCAGAAGACCACAGGAGGACTGGAAGGATGGCAGGAAACATTTAATGCTGTTATGCCAGAAACAAGACTTTATGAAGAAAGAAAATTGTATGTTATTACTCTGTATTGTTAGAGATTTAATTTATATTTCTGTTTACTGTTCACTGGAAATCCTGGAACTTGGATCATGACCCATGGCAAAACATAGTCTCCACTTTCATAACACAGGAATTCATCCTATGAAGCCATGTGTGGGGGTAAAACTTTTCATGAGGTAATTTAGAATTAATCATTGTAAAAACCTAGCTCCTCCTCTGCCTTCTAACTTTCTATCTTTTAAAACAATGAAGTCTGATTCTTACACAAGGAAAATAAACATCTAAACTGACTGCGCCTGCTTTTAAAATATTTTGCATTTTAGCATTTCAGACCTTTCATTTCATTTTCTTTTTAAAAATTTCTTGTAGGCTACACACTAGTGCCAGTCTATATGTTTCTGTGAGTTTTGAAGCAGAACGACAACTCTCCAAAAACTACTATAACCGAGCTATTCACTGCCCTGACATAGAGGGGGGAGCATATTTAAAGCTACAAAATGAATGAATTACTTTTCATGTAATTTTTAATTCCCAACCTTGAAGGTATTTTTTCTATATGCTTATGGAGTACTGTGTAAATAAACTAATTTGAGACATAGAAACCCACACCAACAATCTCTCTTTACAAATCAAATATGTACCATCACATACTTATTGCTAAACCTGTACAATCCAGATATACTCTGCCTCTCTTTGCTTAGTGCACAAGCACACCTAATACAAGTACAAACAAATAATATATATTTAATATTTCTCTAAGCATTTTTACTTCTATCTCATCTAACATCTCCCAGCATCTAAATTCTCCGAGACACTCAATGCAGCAGCACAGTGGAAATTCATACCAGAAACACTGAGTTCACAACAAGATACTGAGGCCAAGGCCACTTTGATTTAAAAAACACAATGTCAGCAGTCACAGAAACGTAGCAATTAAAGCCCTTGCCCACACAGTCAAAACTGAGGGATCAATGCTCTCCTCAGATTGAAGGATTCAAGTACACAGTGCTTGCCTCCCATGAGAAACTGTCCCCGTCCTGGGTCACCCTCCACCCTTCCAGTAAATCTGTCACTACAGAAAAAGGAATGCAGGACCTGTAAAGCCACAGAGTCCATCAACAAGCGGGAGCACTACTATGGCCAGTGACAATGGTAATGCTTTGCAAGGGTGGAAATGTTGGGTTATGGTCTCACCACAGAGGTAGATTATCCATACTGCAATTAAGTGACATTCTACAAAACACACAAGTCTTACAAACAGAAAAAGCTCCAGACTCAAACCTGAATTAGAAGAGTAAAAGTAAGTACACAACCTCTAGAACAGTAGTTTCTATACGTGTACAATCTATAGAACTCTGTGCATGTACTGCAATGAAGAGTTTGTGCGCTACTCTGCAAGCAAAATGTAAACCCCATGGAAAAAAGCAGGAAAAGTCTTCTGCTTACAGATGTAAGGATCATCTAGCTGAGCTGTAAGGATTATCTAACTGATCCGCCCCCTGCCCTTGTGGCTTTACACATACACTTTCCCTTCATTCAAACTACTATTTGGACATGGGAATAACAAATATATTTTAATTCAAACATATATCATATGTAACTATATATACATATTTACAACTAGTCTAAACAGAAAATCTGCATTTACTGCTTCTGGGGATATATGTTAATTTGTATCTCAGCTGGCTGCCCCCCTTATTGTTTTAATTCCTCCAGGTATTTGCTTTTCATTCCTATTAATCCAGCACTCATATTTCTTTCATATGACCAATTAGTTATTATGTGCCTGAAGCATACCAAAAATGTAAAATACTAGTAAAATACTGGTATTTTATTGATTCTTTTTAAAAGGTTATTAATTTTATAGGGATTGGGCTGGGCAATGTTATTCTTCTATATAGACTACTGGAAAGACAGAACATAATACGCACTGAATTACTATCCTTCTCCACTCACATTTGCGTTTAAGGAATTAAATGTGGTCTAAGTTTGCTTACAGCAACTTCGTATATCATTGCTCTGATTTTACATTATACTGCTCCTTGTTACACGTGATGTTTCGCATACTTCAGTTTGATTTTTGGTTGGTATTTCTTCCTAAGCATTTTTTCCTCCTCCCCAGAAGAGAATGTACAAAACAATGAAAATATTTCCTGAAGTAATTTTGAAATCCACTTACCCCTCAATCATGAAATTTACAGCAAATGAATAAAAGCAAAGCTCTCCTAATTAAATGTTTATTATATTTTAATTTGAAGTCAAAGCTTAACCGTAACTAGGTATTTCATTAACTAAATTAAACCATTCAAACAACTACTTACCTACTCTATACTGATCATACAGAATGTATTCAAAAAACGATGACAGTAATTAATGCCTTAGATTTTATTTTACGCTCTCATTTTGTACTATACATTTTCCCTTGGAAATATTAAGAGGTACACAGGTCAATTTTCCACCTACATAGGTATCTAATAAATTATTTATTTCTCAAGAAAAAGACAGGGGAAAAACATTGAGTTTTTCCTAATCATTATTAAAACATTTATTAATCAAATTTCTCACTGGACTGAACAAGGTTCACAAATTTTTTATAGAGATTTCATGTCTATACTACACTTATCTGTTCTTAACTTTGGACTTAGGATGTGATCTGAGGTTTTGTGAAAATGGTAGCCCATTCTAGTAGTAATCTGAATAAAGGAATTTGGCTTTCTCTACTCCTCTTATTCAGCATTTGACCTATACAGGTCCTCCTGGAAATATATCGAATTTCCATGTGCTCAAAGTAACTTCTGAACTATTTCACCTTATGCTTTTTCTCCCCCCATCCCCCCAAAAAATAAACAACTTCAATGATAAGAAGCTAC